TCACTCACTCACTCACTCACTCACTCACTCACTCACTCACTCACTCACTCACTCAATCACTCGCTCACTCACTCACTCACTCTCTCTTTCTCTCTCTTCTTCAATTTCCCTTTCCTTCTCTATCCCTGAATCTCCCTCTTTGTCCATCTATCTCATTTTTCAGATTTCTTTATATATTTCAAGGGCATCTCCATTCTCCTCCATTTCTCTATCTTTGTCTCTCTCTCTCTCTGTCTCTGTCTCTCTCTTTCTCTCTCTCTCTCCTCTCTCTCTCTCTTTCTTAACATCTCTCTATCTCTATCAGTCTATATTTTGTCTCGCTCTAGCTGCCTTAGTGTCATTTAGTGCTACAGAGCCAATCATAATTGCATCCTCTTCTATATCCAAAAAGACAAAAATTCAATCAACAAATCGTTATAAATATAATTTTCTTTCTCCCTTTTTCCCAGAACTGTGGGGATGTGTCACCAACCACACTGTCTCCAGAGCAGTCTCCTAGCAACTCCTGTGATGAGGGCGAGGGTGCAAGGTGAGTGTGTTTGTTCTTCTATCTGATTATTTTCTTTATCTATCTATCTATCTATCTATCTATCTATCTATCTATCTATCTATCTATCTATCTACTTATGTCTGTCTATCTATCTGTCTATCTGTCTTTCTGCCTGCCTGTCTTTCTGCCTGTCTGTCTGTCAGTCTACTTTAAGTTCATTTGTTTTGTTTCTACTTGCTTTTGTATCGACCTACCAATCTTTCTTACATTAAACCTGAGCTGTGGAGTTGCCACCGCAATCCCCAAATGTGTAGGAGGATAAAAATGGCGATGGTGTCTATTTTGCATGAGGTGTCTCAGTGTACAGGGAAAATCTTTTCTCTGCTTGTGAGTCCCCTTTAGCAGGAGAAATTATCTTTCCACTTTCGTCTGGAAGTCGAGACCATGTTTGTTTCAATGTATTACTCTGATTGTGCAAACCTGTAGTGTTCTACAATATTTGGCAACATGCATATTTACGGTTCTGTTGACCTCAATTTGAATCACTGAAAGGGACAATCTAGAACTTTTTTTCAACGGAGGGTGGAAGAGGAGGGGG